TGATTCTACCCCATCTCATAAACGGAAGCAGATGGTAGAACAAAGTCCGAACATGTAATCCATCGGTTGAAAACCAAACACTCTACCCACTATCAATCTAGTCATTGGAATCATTCTACAATTTGAACTCCTAGTGTGGTGTGAGCTACTTATAAGTAGTATATGACGTGAGTGTCAACGTAATGTCTGGCAGCAGATAGGGGAAGATAAAGAAAGGAAGAGTGGGAAAACAATGGAATTTGTATGAAACGCATGAATAGTGACAATGGATTGATGTTTTGCAACAGGAACAGTCCAGTTCGATAGGATGAACTGATATTTTGCAAATAAACGATTTACGATATGGTTTTTCCGATTTTACTGAGTAACTCAGTAATTTTCTTTAAATACAATTCGGTTGCCCCACCTGTGTTCTCGTTCACTACACTAGCATTCGCAGTAAATTCCCTGTAGTATTAATATTTCATAACAAAAGTTATGGTCTCATCAATTAAATCTATTCAATCTACTACATTTGAAGTTCACTATCGTATTTCAATGTTTCTCTTTTTTTCAATTTCATTTATTCACTCTATTATTAGTTCCCAGATCTCGGGGGAAATCGTATCACTGTCAATGCACCAACTTCGTCTGATTCATCATCTCTTGATATTATTTCTAACAATTTGAAAATAGATTCAACAACACCAGAAGACAAGAAACCATATCATCCATTGAAAGGCAACTTTTCAAATTATCAGTTAATTGATTATTTGATATGGCGTAATCGAGAACTAGAACAAAAACTTCATGAAACACAAAAACGTCTTTCTCTATATGAAAAAGTTAATGATATCGAAGATGTATAGTGATGCATTTTTAGCATATTTATTCTTCATTTTTAGAGAAAAAAAAAAGCTGTACATAATCGTTTAGAAAAAAAACTTTCTACACTGATTTATCTATCTTTACCCTTTCTTCAGTAACAATGCATTTATTCCATTATTTTTTTCCCGGTAGTTTTAAAATATAGATAAATATTTTATGCTATTTGACTGGCGATTATTTTGTGATTATAAGGTTATATTTTCTTGTTTGACATACATTGATGTGAATTAACTTGACCTATTTATTGAGTATAGTTATTCTGGCTGATATTTGAACCTAGTTTAACAATAACGTAAGCAAAGGCATTAATTCTCAATCATATCAAGTGACATACTTGATCACATTGCAGCTAGAAATAGAAGATATTCGTAGATTATTAGTATCCGGTCATAGGTATATTTAGGAAATCGCTTGTTTATACTGGGACCATCGAGTAAGCAGTGACAGGAAAAGGGAACTAAATAGGGATAGCAAATCAGTTGAGGTGCTTGGGACATGCGTTACGTATGCCTAACCACTGATTGCCTCGACGAGCTAAGTTTTGTGGTGTACGAGTAGACTGAAAGAAAACTAGGGGAGGTCAGACTAAAACATGTCATAAATCCATGAAGTCACTGACAACTGGACTGAGCCATGTTAGTAGGTGATACTAAATGCTCGGGACCTGCGAGACGATAGTAACCGATGGTTAGAGACTTCGAATGACATGGCTAAAAATTGTTTGCGTTTGCGCAGATGCTTCTACTCGTTATCTTCTCTCAAATTCTGATCTGAATTCCTCAGTCTTTTTGCATTTATTTCACTGGGGCATACTTCTCGAATCATATCTCCTACTTTTAATCTTTTCCATTACCGTACATGCTGAAAATTTCATCGCTCTGTAGCAATGAGGTAATGGCAACTTGGTCGTTGCGGACTGACGTGCTTGATCAAAGGTACTCAGTTAACATTGGCTGTTTTCTGGCAACCAATTACAGGACGAATAACAGTCATGACTTAGAATCAATTGCTATCAAACCGTCTAGGTCTAAAATCATTCCACCAAGTGGCTTCAAAATCTATTTTTATAAAAAAAATAAGTGCCAATCAACTTCGGTTATAATGAGATATTGTACATGTGGATAGATTTTTACTGGTGAAATTCGAGACTGATACTTCCTTTTATGAAGCCCAATACTACGACTAAGCAGTTAGACAACCACTTAAAACTAGGAAGTACCAGACAGCTAAGGCTAGAATGTGACAAACTACAGGAGAACTAGGTTGTCGACCATCTTTGACTTCAATAATAACCAATCACTAAAATAAATACAATTCTAAAGCCCCTCAATTCTACAAAACACGCCTCCACCACGAGGAGTCCTATGGCAGTGCACTCTTCACGGATCTAGGGGGCTTCAAAGACAGTGGATTCTACTGACCTATCGTACGAGGACGCTTTGGAGTCCCTGTCTATGGCCGCTTATTTGATTCCTTCATATAGTAATAGTTATCGTGAAACATCTTTCTTGGGCATGAATATCAAATCGTTCCATATGAACTGACAATGTAATGAAAGCTGAGCTTAACAATTAACCTGGTTAGACTACGCCACCGATGGTATGTATCTAGCCTACTACGTCAGCACCGCACTGTACTTTTAGTTTTCGCACAAAACTAAACCTTGAAAATCGCAATAACAGCGACTAATATCGACACCGATAAGGACAAACTAGTTCGAACACTACGTATCGCGCCTGAGTCCGACCAAAAAATAGATAATGTATCACTATTCTATAAACTATGCCAGATGACGTACGAAGACGGGCCCCGTACTAACTGACAGTGCACGTAAAGAAAACAGTCTCTACTGCTAGCCTAAACCTAGGAAGTCGCATACAATTAATTTAAGTGATTACAAAGCGATCTGTTTCGTGATATACGACTTTTAACTTGTTTGTCTTTATGTGCGAAAGCTATGTTTAGCTACAAACTGTAACAGCCGGTATTGATTCAGGTTAAACATATGTCAAGTACACCATAGACCTTATATGATGGTCATCGATGTTTAAAGGGTCACAGGAGCGGTAGTTTGACACCGTAAATTATGTAATCAAAGTAATCGCTCTCATAGGAATGATTTCAAAAACTGGATGTATATTTATTACAGCTATAATTGTATATTTTACGCATCGCTTAAGCGATACATCCATACTTCAGCTTTCGTTAGGACTTGGATAGAGGATCACTCGAAACACAGCATTTCGAAGTCCCTGCTTTTTATATTTGACGGGTAACGAACCTTCTAACTTATGCAGTTTGAGGGTCGACGCCAAATAAAAATATCTTGCACATGTGTCATTTATAATCTGCGGACCACTACTCCAAATCCCCATTTTTCTTCAAAATCTGAGCAAAACAACCATATTTACCAGCAAAACGGTTTATGAACAATCATTTAAAATGTTATCATTTGTCCCTTCTTCTTTTTATCACCGCCAAGTTCGAAGTGTTTGCACCTCTTAATTCTCAGTTGTTTCTTACATTTACACTGCGAACATTCCAATCGCAACACAATTTTCTTTGTAGTTTTTGATTTCTTTCTGAGGATAGGTTTTGTTTGACCACCATAACCTTAAATCGATAGTAAATAAATATATAATTGCGTACCTGACTGTTTCCTGTCGTACCGTCTCTTTCCCTGTGCATACAATGAATCTTTACCTTTTTTGTACTGAGTCACTTTATGCAAAGTATGTTTTTTGCACTTAGCACTCTTGCAAAACGTATTTCTGGTCTTAGGAATATTAACCATGTTCGCCACGCGCGACCTTGACGAGTGAACCGCCGATGTTTGGACAGCCTTGACAGAGGTTTAAACAATATCCGTTTTGTTTAGCCAGCAGCTGCCAAACAGTTATTTACCTAACCTCAAGTACATAAACTTCATTTTTTCACAAACTTTCATCCTGTCAAGTTTTTAAGACCATATCATCTGGCAAATTTCCAGATCATTTTTTTGTTGTCGAAGTACATAATTTGGTTTTCACTTATGCCTAAATTACCTGCACTTCATGCTATTTCTGTTATCACTCGTAAGTCGACTCTAAACTAGGCTCAACGCATACTATGATCCTTCTCCCGAAGGTCTGTTATTAATATCCCATACAATCAACTACTGAAAATATCAGCTTGTTTCGTTAGACAAAAATATACTTGTCGAAATTTTCATTTTAACTCTTTTGGTTAGGTGTAATAATAATTATCCTCCGGAAACCTACGAACTGACGTTAGTTGTACATCACTGTGTTACATGCGGCATACTAGCTTATAGGCAAGATCAATTTGATAAATATTTACTGTAATAGGCTGCTTAGTTAGCGTGGTACTTTACTAGATTCAACAATCGTTACCATAGATTGCTTATACTTCCTATTTAAAATTGTAAGTGATTTTTAAGCGAACGAAATCTAAAATACAATATTTGGTTCGTTGAGTTGTAACGAAAGACTGGCAGTCGAGAATTAATACAAGTCATGTCCTAGACTGTATGTAGCAAGAATTGATAAGATTGATGTATATTGATCTCCTTGATGACATTCAGAAAAAAACCTGATAAACTTCTGTGTAAAACAACCTTAGGACCCCAGGAATATCAGAACCATCAGTTATGGCGTAGTGCTCAGTGTTGAAAAAGAGCAAGTGAAGTTGGGGCAGAATTCGAAGTGAAAATAATCGCAACCGGATTAGGGTTGCGACCCAAAGGATTTATTTGTGAGTAAAACTCTGGGGTTTCATAAATTTGACCCTTACTTTTCTCGATTACATCATTTACTTCACAACTGCATTTAGATGGTTAATGAAGAAAAGTCCCTAGTATGACAACGAATGGGTTAATGACTAAATGAATAGAGGAAATTCCAAAGAACTTATGGGACGGCTTGGTCATGTGGACCTAGTCACTTTGTAATTTAAAGTTTTTTATATCAGATATCTTATTCACTGTCCAGCCCAAATGTACGCTTCAGAAGTTTTCATAGGTGCCGCTGACTATCATGGTGTGACTTTTCGATAAGGATGATGTTACATTCACGTTAGAAATTAGAGACTAGGTAGTCACGACATGGCGAATTCGCACTTTGGATCGGTTCTACATCAAGGTAGCATATATAAATGCCCCAGTACTAACATAGACGTAAATATCACAGACTTACCATAATTTGAATTTTCGGTCTGTACGTTCTTACTATGGAGTCACTTTTCGTAAATCCTGAAAAATACATACATATTTGCCTGTAGAACAGTATAATTATCATGAGGATGAGTGTTACAATGACCGTGTCTTCTCAACTGCACTATCGCTAACATGCCCTGTGCACCAGACGCGAGATTCATTATAAGATCAACAGTCCTGTCCTCAGAATCAAGTAGGTATAAAACCAGATTCAAGGAAACAGGGAACGATGATTCGATATGCCATGCATAAAATTATTATAAATTTGTGCTTACTTGTGAATCATGAGGTAGTAAAACAAAAAAAATAAAGACAGAATCAACTGAAAGGTACCTAAACAGTGTCTTTCCTAACAGAAAAAAGGCACAATTACTGTAAACGATAATTTATTTTGCATTATACAGTAAAATGGCTAGAACAGGAAACCAATACAATTCAAAAATCAGGTTTATTTTAACTCAAATGAAATGTTCTGACTATAAATTGAACAAAATCAAGAGTGCCCAGCGATTTTTTAGGCAAACCGGTCTCCGCTCCGAACGGTTCTTTTTTTCTGTAATGTAACGAAAGTTAGGTTTCTTTCCTCCAGTGAGATATTCATGAAAAAGTTCTAACAGTTCCGATTAATCACAATTATTAATACTGCCAGTGCCATCAAAATATTGCTGATTTCAAAGAGTGGATGCTGGATTGATTGTTTATACAACAAGCAAATAAGCCAAAACGATATCAGCGCAGATAGAATCATATACAAAATAAATAATCTAG